GGGGGTATTAACATGATGACATGCTCATATGCACAGTAGAGGGCTGATTTATCAATGATCACATGCTCATATATTATACAGTCATACTGTGTCGAAACAACATAGAGGGAACTGCTGTTTTTTCTTTCCTCATCCTTACTATCGTCATTTTCCTCTACTTCTTTTGTATGTTTGAGTTTGTCACCTCTCTTGTGAATTGCTATTTCCGTGGTGCTTTGGTAGTCGAAGCAGACTTTGTGCTGTTGAAGCTAGAGAGGTGAGCATAGTACGGTAAGCCTGATTCACCCTGTTTGGACTTCTCTGTTGACATCCACCCCTTGGCGCTATATATATATCCTATTAATTTTGGGCATGTAGAGTTATTGGTATTATCTTAAAGCTTTTTCACTTGTCTTTATTTGGATGAAAAAATATCCATTTATCTTGAATATAAGTGGAGAGATATTTGGAAATGAAGGAGGTGGGGGTCACCTGTTTTCAGAGGTAGAATTAGTGAGAAAATGGCCGCCAAAGATTAGTTATTTCCTTAGCTTTAGAGTTCGTGGTAACTGAAAAATTACATTTTTTGATGCCTTAAATCAATGTTTTTCAGAAAAATCCACACAGAAATGAGTTCATTAATGGGCATGAAAGGTGTTGAGCCAAAAAACAAAAATTTAAGAAAAATTCACAAAACTTCGGAAAAATGCAAGTTTCTTCACTTTGATTATTTTGACGAAAGCCTGATTCCTCCACGCTGCCTCATTTATGCTGTTGTGAGTGCCGTAAAACCTTTTTAACTAAAACAAAATAGACCCTGATCAGTCCGATGGGACTCACGGTAGGCAGCAAATGCAGTTGTACACCGCTATAGAACTTTACGTCAAACGATGCTCTGCTCACCTCTCTAGCCTCAACCAACAGCACAAAGTCAGCTGTGGGTGGTTGGCGGTTGCTCTGGTGTGGTTTGCTTTTTCTTTCCTATCAAACATCTATCGTCCGTATCTCCCCTCCTTCTTTTTTTTTGTTTGTTACTCTCTTCTAACACCTCTAATCCTCTGGCGCTCATATGACCTTATGCAGTTGCGAGCGCCGTAAAACCTCTACTAAAACAAACAAAACAAAAACAAAGTCAGCTTCGACTACATGTACCAAGTCATCTCAGAAATAAGTTGCGCAACTTATTGTTAAAAACATGTAGTATCTCCTCAACTATCGAACATATAAACTCTCCAGCTTTTGCACAGTGACTGGTATCAATTTGTCTTAACAGATCAATATTTTTGAACAGACGGCTGTAGGCCCTATTCTAGAAAATTCCTTAATAAATACTAATAAAAAATCCTAGTGGGTGGTTTCTACTGATTTTAAAAGGTTTTCAGCTGTTTAAAGCAAGTCCGTCATTTTTTTTTCTAATCGCGAGATAATCTTTATTGAACACCTGTTTTGAGAACTTTAAGTGCAAAAAAGTGTTCACTATAAAAATTAAGTTAATTTCTTGTAACAAGTTTTGCCACTGAAAAAAGTGTCATTGGTGAGCTGTGACGTTACCCATTAATATGCGTATACAAAATGTGTGTGATAAGCGGGAAGTGCTGTGAACAATTATATTTTCCGCGTGAAGGAGGTTTGTAGTAGCCTATTTTATATATATTTTTTTATAAAGAAAAGTTTTTTTTAGTCTAGCTTCAATTGTTGTGGAAAAATATGATTACTTTAAGACAAATTGAGACAAACTACTGTGAAAAGTAGGGGTGATATTGATTCCCCCGTTATAAAGATATTTGAGGATAAGTTGACCGCACTTTAATAAGTGGACTAGCATCAGCCAATGTTCACTTTTTGGATTTCCCTCTGATTCTGATTCTGTAAGCAGCATGAATGAGTCTTGTCAGGTTTTCCTAATAAGTTGTTCCGATTTGAGTACGGCCTGCTATCTTCCCAAATAAAACTTGATTTGTTTAATTTGATCACATGCTTTTATTTTCTAGTTTTTAATTATTATAATGGGATAAGGCCCGTGACAACAAAAGCAAATGGCGACCATTCACATAAATAAATATTGTCAGAATGTTCAGTGGATATAAAGGCTCGAACCAGAGGCTAAAGCAATAGCCCATGAAAATTCACACACACACACACACG